GTCCTCACTGCCACCTGCTCCAACTGCATGTTGTCAGGTGAAGGGCAGACAGTTACAGAGTCCGTGCCACATGCTGGGAAATATGAGGCCCCACTGTGCCAGCACTCTGCTGAGAGACTGCTTCTCATCTGGGAGCTCCCTGTTCTTGAGTCGCTGTCTCTTGAATGGGAAAAGCACCCACAAGAGTAGGGAGATGGTTCAGGGTCCCAGGCCACCCCGCTGTTGCCAGCAAGGGGAGAAAAATCTGCTCAGCCACACCTTGCCCCTTAAAACTCTCTGTGTGTATTGTGTTACTAAGTAAACCTTCTCTCACATTTAAAGGGAACCAGTTCATTTACCTGATGAGACCCAGCAGTAGATGCATGTTTTATAGCCTAATACGGACAAGTTTTTCTTCTTCCCTGGAATGGCATGAACACGAATGTTCAGGATTTTGAATCTTCAGGATACAGCAGAAGGAATTTAAAGAGTACCTACCTCCTTTGGAATCAGAGCTTGCCAGATTCCCCCCTCGTTCTTGTCCAGTCTACCAACTCTGCATGGAGTTTAATTGATCATGAAGTAACAGCCACATGTTCAATCTTTCTAAAATATAGAGATTTACATAGTCACCCCATTCTTAGTGTTTCCCTCCCTCTCTTCTCACCTTCCTCTCTTCCTTCCTTCCCTCCTCCTTTCCTCCTTCCTTCCTTCCCCCACCCCCCAACAGCTTCTGTTATCTTTTCTTTCCCTGCCCATGGATGAAGAGTGAGAAAGAGGATTTTTCTTTTAGCCTGGGATGGGGGTGGGGGGACCGTGTAACCACACTAATCATTTTCCTAAAAGTGATTTTGCCATTAACTTCTCTCCTCCCTGTAGAAGTAGAAATATATTTTACAAAACTATGTTTAGTTTAATTTACACATCCTTTCATGAACAGACCAAGTTCTTTAAGGGCATTTATTCTGCTTCATATAAATAATTGATCAGCCGAGTTAATTTACTTCTGCCTGACTTGGTCAACCTTAATTAACTGCCCTGGAATCAAGACTGAACTTTTTGTTAGCTTAAAATCTTTCACAAGCATGATAACAAGGGCTTTATTTTCCCTAAATTTTCAGCATCAACACTGTAACCAAGGAAATAATCATCATAATAAAGCATTGCTTTAATTTGCTATAAATACATTGGCCTAGACGTTATGAATTTTCCAGAATACTTCCAGAAAGCAGCTCTGTTGGCAGCAACAATAAATAAGCACGCGAGAAACTCAGTTCTTATCCTTTTCTACAAGTCCCTCCAGCACAAAAATCGATCTTTTTGAAATCAGTAGTTCTGTAATGTTTCCAAGCAAGAATGAGAAGCAGGCCATTTTGGCTCTCCTGAGCTCTCTGACATCCGTGTAATTGTAGCATCAGCCTCTGTAGGGTTGTATTGAATGGGTCATATGTGACTGAAGCAGGCCCAGCTCCTTCGGAGGAGGAGGAAGCTGGTGGGCAGGTTGCCTTTGTTTCTGGAGAAAGGACCTGACAGTGGGTATGGGGTGGCCATGTCCTCCAGGTACCAGGTCTTCATTGTTGAGATACTTTGGGTGATTGTGTATCATTGCTTATTCTCAGTTTGGCATGGAGCAAAGCAGTTCATTGATGACAGTGAGCCCCAGAGGGGAGTGGAGGTTAGAGAAACTGAGTGCCTGGGATAAGCTCCCTGTAAGGAAAGAGTGCGGTGTCATGTGTTTGAGAACAGAGACGCCTCCCATTAAAAGGTGACTGGCTTTCAGATGACTTTAAAATAGTAAAACTCAGTAGAAAAAGACAAACACTCTTTGCTAAAGAATGCTGGCACCTTGGTCTTTGCATTTTATATGCTCTGCTGTCTCCACCTGTCAACCTCGTCATTGTCTTTTCTGGAATTACCTAGTTTTCTTTTTGTTGATTCACTCATTTACCACCTTGCACAGGACTGCAGGTTGGAAATTCTCTGTCATTTATTGAAGGGAGAAGTTCATGTCTGACATAGGGAACGATTATGACTGCATCTCTTCCTTAAACCACTGAGCTTTAGTTTTCTTATCTGTAAAATGGGGGTACCATCACCTTGCATCCCCCCCCACCCCAGAGACTGGTTATGAGTCTGAATGATACATCAGCGGGTTCTGTAGTTCGTGAAGCGGATGCAGATAGAAAGGCTTGTTAAATGGCTTGGAACCTTCCATAGAAAGAATTATTGCCAGCCCCAGATATTGTTAGAAATGTTCTTAGACATCGACACTCCTAATTTTTCACATGTGCTTTTCAAAAAAGCTGTTTTCTCCTGATTGGTGTGGGAGATCATGGGAAATTTTAAATCTTGCAACCTACATACTACTGTTAGTACTCGACTAATTAAGGACATCCTCGAACCAAAATAATCCTTCATGCAATTTTGGTTGCAAAGCGTGCTCTCTCACAAACCTGATTCGCAAGCTAAGCTGCTTGGCTTGATGCCTGCTAAACTGGAGGACTTGGCAGCCTTCTCTGGAACTGCATGGAGCAAAACCCTCTCATCAAGTTGTGGATTGGAGATTGTTCTGACTCCACCCACTGCGATGGTGCCAAACCAAGGATACAGTAGCAGGGCCAGCCCCCTAGACACCTGGCCTTAGGTCTGGTGTCCCGATGGTTACATGGTTTGAAAGCGCCTCTCTTCCTGCAGCTTTGCACCACAAGGGCTAGATTTTTGGCTAGATAAGTCCCATTTTTGAGAGCAGACATAGAGTTTATGTATAGGCAGTGGTGTTTTTTTTTTTTTGCTTTTGGGAGTCCAGTCCCTGATATAATAGACACTCCAGAGGATAACAAAAGTTCTGTGTGTGTTTTCTTAAGGTAAGCTGGTGACATGTCCTAATCATTCAGTGTGTTTCCTTCCAAACATAACTGTTCTCTCTTTAAATAGCTAAACACTGTCTTTTCGTTAGTTTGTGTAACAGAAACTGAAACTTTCGTGGGGAGGGGGGGGAACCCTTGATTTCACAAATGGATTCCTCTTTTTGGTGATGCCCAAGGTACTTATATCACCTGGTTCTTACATGTTAGAGAAAGTTTTAGTTGTTTTTTCATAGATTCGTTCTTCTGCAGACAGTAAGGATATGAATGCAGTGTTCAAAGGACTATAATTACAGGGAAGTCTGATCTAAAGACAGCGAGTGAATCAGCTGTTCTTCTGAATTTGCTTCCCACCTGTTAACAAAAAAAATGCTATTCTTAATCCCCTTCAGAATTGGATTAGCTTTAGAATATATATGTCTTCTGGGTCTATAAAATTTGTGTCAAGTTGGATCATACTATGCCCTGACAGGAAGATCTGTTTTTTGTGCATATCTATAGAAAGGAGACTTAAACACAGTTCCTAATGAGAGGGCTACCTTCTCTGATGATGTCCACAGTGTTTAAATTTCTCTGTGGTCACATATTTCATGTGTGGGGGAGAAATCTGTGGCGCTGGTTGTTCATATGAATTTCCATGATTCAAAAAAACTTCAGTTGAAAGTTTTCTGCCCTTTCATCTGCAATTGGTATTTTCACATTCAAGTCTTAATCATTTAAGCATTTCTCAGTTGGGATGTTTGAATCGTCCACTTCCCTTTGATGCTCGTTTTCCTTTTCGAAGTCGTGGTCTTTGAACTTGGAGCATGATCCTGCCCTTGTTGTTGTTTGGCCCCCACTGCTTGCAACTTTAAGAAAACATGCGGTTTAAGAACTTTTGACATCTGACTGAACTTGTTTGAATCCTGACTCTAGCATGCAAGCTGTGGGATATGCTGGGCAGATTGAAATAGCTCTCATGTTGCCTTTGTCTACTCACCTGCAAACTGGGGATAGTGATTGTCCTCATCACTGAACTGGAGAATTTATATAAATCACCTGCAGTAAGGCTTCGCACGACGCTGGTGATCAGTAGATGGTGAGCAATTGATATTAGCAAATGCTGTCTGTCGGAGCCAAACACCTTTCCTGAGAGATTGGCTCCCTGGGATAAATGCCTTTGTGTCTAAAGAGTAACCAGGCAGGATGTGAAATGTATGTGCATGTAGGTCATAGCCTCTGGCTGCTCATCTTGTATGATACATGTTTTATTAGACATTTAGTACTTCCAAATCCAGGCCCTATCTTTGGTCAGGCTATGCTAGGCAAGATTTTTTTCCAAAAGAAATATAAGAAGGCACCAACCTTACAGGTCTTAAAACCAAGCGAGAGGTTAGTAATCCAAGCATGAGAAATACCTAACTTTGAATGGGATTTCTCAGTACAGTTTTAACCATAAGACAAAGATCAGAATCTGAATTTATTTAGCTTCTGAGAAGTGGGGAGTTTTTTTGCTCCCCCTCTCTGAAAGTGGCCATTCTCATGGGAATGGCCAGTTTTGAAGAGTCAGTACCTGAATGATTCCAAGGAGTTTGAATATTTGAAATGCTTTTTGGTTTTTGACTCTAAGGGTTTTTTTTGGTTTTTGACTCTAATGTTGATGCTCACCTGTCAGTCTGATTGTAAACTACATATTCCAAATGACCCAAGACGGCCTTCTAGTAATGTATGTTATCTCCAGGTAGACTGAACTTGGGGGCTGTTTCTCTAAAAGTGTAACACCACCAGACACAGCCTGTGTGTAGTGAAATTTAATGTTATATACCTAATATGCTGTATAGAAAGACTGACTGATTTCTGGGCAGAATAGCCAGACATAGTCACAGAAATTTAACATCCATTTTAGGGTCACCTGGAAATACTTACTTTTTCTAAGGCAGCAAAAAAGACCACATACTCAAAACGATACTACTTAAACTTGAATTTTGACCCGAACATGGACTCAAACACTAGGGATCTGGACCACTAATGAAGGATAAATTGAGTGAAAGAAAATGACAACTGTTTACAGATTTTGGCAACATTGAAGGCAGGGCCCTTCTCCTTCTGTACAACAACTGTTTTAACAGCTGCTTTTTTTCTCTCTCCCCCGCTCCCTCCTGAAAATCCTTCTATCAGGTTTTTGAGTCATGATGCAAGAATCTGGGACTGAGACAAAAAGTAACGGTCCAGCCATCCAGAATGGGTCAAGCAGCGGCAATCACTTGTTAGAGTGCGGCAGTCTCCGGGACGGGCGGTCCAACGGGGAGGCGGCGGCTGTGGACGTGGGGGCAGCCGATCTGGCCCATGTGCAGCAGCAGGTACTGGATCCTGGGGTTGGGCTGCAGAGGGGGAGGCATCTCTTGGGAAATGGTGAAAAAAGAAATGGTGTTTGTGAGGGCCTTTCTGAAAGTAACAGAATTTGTAGGGGGATGGGAGAAGAGGAAATCAAGAAAAGTGCCAGTCCTACCACTTAGTTTTTGTACTGAACCACTGCGAATGTTGATGCTCACCTGTCAGTCTGATTGTAAACTGCATATTCCAAGCCCCTGGCACCCTGGGGTCCCCAGGGTTGGCTTAAGAAACAGATCCTCAAGCCCTGGGGAGTTCAAAGTCTTGGAAGTCCCCTCTTAGGGAATGGTTGTTGAGAATGAGATCGAGTAGATCTTTGGCTACACCCTCCTGGCCCCTAACATGTCAATCTAAAGTTTAATTCCTCTTGGGAATAAAATTAGTTTTTGAAGAAGTGATTCCCTTTGCTATTAAAAACTAATAATAATTAGGCTTTTTAAGGCTTATGAAGTAGGAAATAAAATAGGGGCATGTAAGAGAAATGAATTGGTGAATAAGGAGAGTAGAAATGTATAGAAATACCGGCAAAACTCGGTAAATAACAGGCATCAGTGTAAGAAATTGCTTCCTGCTACCTGGAGGAATCCATGGATTGGGGCCATTTACATATGTTTTCTTGAATACACATGGCAGTTGATATGTGGCTAACTCCTATTAATGTTTTAAATTATTTTCTATTGGTGGCTCTCCAAGATGCACATAAATTGGGACATACATGTTCTTGTGTTATATTCATGGTAGGCATCTAAGCAGGTACCTATGAATATTCGACTGGTAAAATATTTCCCAATGGGAAAGGTGACCCAGAAAATGTTATTTTGTGGCCAAAGTGTGGCTGAAGATTCAAATAAGTAAATTGCATTTGCTTGAAGATTGACAATTGTTTTTCCATCCCTCTCTTGGAATCAGGAGTTATGATTGGTTTATGTTGATGATAATAGGTAGTTTTTATTTCCTTTTAAGTTCTTGGTTCTTTTATTCAATATATAGTTATGGCATTGCTTGGGAAAAGGTGAAAAAGGAATGGTGCATGTGAGTGCCTTTCTAAAAGTAACAGGAAATGTAGGGGGATGAGAGAAGAGGAAAGCAAACCTCTCAAACCGTTTTCTTAGACTCTGTATCAGAGAAGCAAAGGGATGCTGTACCAGGGATGGAGGTTTTGACAATCTCTGAGGAATGTTTTCTCTTCTCCTTGAGAATTTGTAAAAACATAATGAATCATTGCATTGTTAGTCTTTTAGAAGTTGGTGTAACCAACTTGGCTAATGGAAACTGCCAGGAAGGTACAACAGAGAGAAAGGATTCCTAAGGAAGCGAAGATGCAAGCTGAGGTCTTAATTCTGAGGATTTCAAGTAATGTGAACCCTCTTTTATTGGCAGGCCAGGCCTAGCTGTGCCCACACGTTGGGCATTATTACATCAGCTGGAATGGATGATGCCTGATGTCTGTTGTGTATAAATTTGGAGCATTTAAGTTAGTGCAAATGGCCAAATTCTAACCAACAAGATTGTTAGCAGAATCTATTAGTAAGTGGTAGGAGGGAATCCACATATTTGTTCCTGTGGTGTTCTCAGATATTTATGGTTATACTGGTACTGGGAATGACTAGTTGGTATTTTGGAGTATCATTGTCTATGCTCTTACCATATACAGAAGCCAAGATGGATTATTGCTTTATGGGACAGTTGAGGTGGGGCTCTTGACCATTGTGGTCTGGACCCCAAGTGATTAGTTTTATGAGTACATTAATTAAATAAATGGACAACTAACTCCTCCCAAATTTTATTTGAAGAACTGAAAATCATTCATAATCTCAAAGTAGTAAGCCAGCCAAAAACTGTACAGGTATACCATCAATACACATGTATGTGTGCGTGTGCACACACATACACATTTCTAATGCAATAAGTGGCCTCACCAGAAGGAAGTTATAAAAGTGCATTTTAATAGTATCTTCCCTAAAAAGCATCAGTAGCAAAATTAGTCATTCATGTCTGCACCCTTTATCGTGGCCATGTGTGCTTCGGAAAATGTGTAGTAATGTATGACTTATTGATACAAAGGTCAGTAGCTTTTGGTTATATTTTGAAATTCTTTTTTAAGATTTTTTTAGGCATTTTATATCTGTTTTCCATTGATATGTTTTGGAAAGCAAGCAAGCAGTTGGGGCTATCCTTGTGGCTAAAACCCTATATACTGTGGTTGGCAGACCTCTCCCTTCTTATAAAATAAAATAGTGACAGCTGTTTGACCCCCATACATGGACGATAAGGTTCTTAACAGGATTTGAGGGGAAAGCAAAACCTGTAGATGAAATAAGAAAAATACACAGGATTGCAAAAGGTTCACAGGACGAGAGTTGTCTGCGTCTTCTTCCAGCCTGGAAAAGGCAACAATTAAACCATTTGGGGAGATCTGAGTGTCAACATGATGTTCTCGGGTTGTTTTCGTCATTTTTATCCTCCAGGTTTTTACTTGAAGTGAGAGTACCAGCGGTGAGACCATCACAGCCATGCTGAATTCATTACTGCGGGAGTCACACAAAACCACGGATAAAATTTCAATAACTGCAGGCCACAGTTGAGTAAACAGTTGCACGGAAATTTAATTCCTGTTGACTTTGCCCCCATTCCTCGCCAGGGGCACATTCTGATTCTGTAGTACAAAGACAACAGGGGTTACAGCTTTGATTAATGCAGGACAGTGGAAGAGAATTAGAACTGTGAAATATGTTAGAAGTCCATGGAACAAAAAGATCTGGCTTAAAAGGGCTTGGTATAAAAATGAGTTAATTCTGCTCTGTTTGAAACTGAATGTTATAGGATTTTTCCAGTTGCACCAGTATGATCCTGGATGATAAAGGGAGAATTTTTACCTAGTGGCAGGATTTAAACTAAATAAGTGTAAACCTTCCCATGTTTGAGCCACATTACCAATGATACAAATGATAGCAACCGCCTTTTTTAGAATGGAGAGTTTATGCAAAGATTCACAGCGGAGTGAGGGAATTCTGTGTTGACTTCTGTCTGTAGGTTGGGCAAATTGGGTCCAAACAGAAGTATTTAAAAAAAAAAATTATGTAGTTGACAACATAGAAAAATGGAAGAAATCTAGCTTTTCCATCTTCTCTTGAAGACTCAGAAGATCTGGTAACCCTGGGCTGATGTTCCTAGAAGGGCATCAACTTGTTGGGAGGTAAATTGCTACCTAAGTTGGGGAGCCTGCAGCCCTCCCTTCTGCCCTAGTTCCCACCAGGCAGTGTGGCTCATCTGTGCCCTCTGGGCAAGTGGAGTTAGTGATTCTGGTCTGGAAGATGCCGTCATCACTCAGAAGCCATCAGCCAAGGCAAGGTGCTGCCATTAGCTGGAGGACCTGGCCAGCACGCTCACAAACTGGCTTCGTTCCTCAAAACTGAGTGTGTTCTCTCTGTCATGTTGCAGCTCTACTTATGTCTGGGCTATGAAACTATTGTAACAGTAGTTCTCTAATAATATAATTTGATAGAGTCTCCGGACATTTTCTTTTAGCCATTGAGTAATTCTTTCCCTGATACCATAACTGCTTTTTATTTCCTATTATGCCTGCCCCATTTCGAGGTCTGTAAAAGTTCAGTATTGGATATACACCACTCCATTATGAAACTCAGCAACAAATACTATTACCGATTACTCGAGTTTTTTTCCTTAAAGAAAGGATTTTAAAATGTCCAGAGCAATTTCATAAACTGTATGGATTAATGCATTTTAAAAGTCTTGAATTTTAGAAAGCAGAATTTTATTTCCATATTGCTGCAAATGAGAGCTTTTTCAGATAAGCATATTACATAGAGCATAATGTTTAGAAGTTTCTCCATATACAGCATATGCTGTCAGGTCAATTAACAGAATGCATACTAGAAAATGTTTATTCAATAAAAATGAATAGCTGTTAAATAAAACAGCTATTTCTTAACAACATTCCATTTAATGATGGGGTTTAAAAAAATTTTTTTTGGTACCACCTGGCAGTTTTATTGTCTGCACGTCGGCACAGGGAGAGCTTTGGCTGCTGTAGTTTGGGGTGTGGCTACTGTTTTATCTGAGGAGGGTGGTTCAGAGGTAGCCTGTGAGGAAGACATTAAAAAAAAAAAAAGAAAAATATGCGGAGTTCGAGCATGTATTATTTGAAGAGTGTGGATAAGTGAAGTATTTACTTCATAAAGCTGCTTTGGCATTTGGTTTAAGGGGTTGGGCCTTTTGGTCCAAAAGACAGTGAGATACATTTTTCATTAATAATGTACAAGAGGAAAGTTGAATGACTTTTAAGGAGGTAAGAGACATAAAGGATAGGGGGCTTCTGAGAAATGACGGAGGGGGTGGAGGAGGATCCACTGGGCTCAACTTTGCCAATGAAGGAGGTAAAAATAACTCATTACACAGGACCAGGGAAGCTCAGAGAAATAGGATGAGTGTGGTTGGAGTCAAGGAAAGAGTCTGGGTATGTCCCTCCAAAGGGGATGTAGAAACTTCACTCTCAGAGGAGCCTGTGAGCATCCTGGTGTGTTTCCTGATGTCCTCTGAACATGAGAAGTGCAGTCATAATGACCGGAGTGTCAACGCTGCTGTGTAAACCAATACACAAAAGTTAAAAATCTCCTCGTTTTCTAAATGGTGGAACAAGGCATTGAGTCACTCAGGTTACTAGCAGTCATTGAGCAGAAGAGGCAGGTTGTCCTGCCGACATTTCTGACATGCATTGAGCCTGTGAAAACAATCCCTGGAAGAAATAGCTATTGTTTGATGTGACAAGAGCTGCTCCTTTGCTCCGTATTCTTACCATCCTCCTCTGAGGGGACCATGGTGAAACTCCAGTGGCCGGCTTCGTGTTTCTCCCCGGAGGGCAGCCTGGGTGATCAGCTGGGCACCTGTAGGTGTGAAGACTGTAGCAATGGCCAGTTCAGCCGGACCATTTTCTTTGAGAAGGATTGCTTGTGAACTTTGTCAGAAATGCCCTCTAGTGATCTTTCCCTTTGTAGCTGCTATGGACTGTGTTTGCAAAGAGGGTCTTTGGATGCCATCAGAGGGGGAGAGGTGGTCAGCATCTCTTTGTTCTAAAAGGGAAGCTTCCAGAGGGAGTGTCCAAGAACATGGCCTTAATATGAATTGAGTGCCCACCGTGGGGCTGGGCACTGTGACCGGGGGCTAGCACCTGCCTGCCCTCACTGATAGGTGAAAAGTCACGCTGTAGTGGTGAGGGAAGCCCTCTGCCAACGTACTCTTCCTGGGAACAATGTACAGTTCATGGATTATAGGAAATACTGATGATCAAAATACTTTGTAGGAATCAGTGCCATTCAAAACAACATTCCATTTAATGATGGGGTTTAAAAAAATTTTTTTTGGTACCACCTGGCAGTTTTATTGTCTGCACGTCGGCACAGGGAGAGCTTTGGCTGCTGTAGTTTGGGGTGTGGCTACTGTTTTATCTGAGGAGGGTGGTTTAGAGGTAGCCTGTGAGGAAGACATTAAAAAAAAAAAAGGAAAAATATGCGGAGTTCGAGCATGTATTATTTGAAGAGTGTGGATAAGTGAAGTATTTACTTCATAAAGCTGCTTTGGCATTTGGTTTAAGGGGTTGGGCCTTTTGGTCCAAAAGACAGTGAGATACATTTTTCATTAATAATGTACAAGAGGAAAGTTGAATGACTTTTAAGGAGGTAAGAGACATAAAGGATAGGGGGCTTCTGAGAAATGACGGAGGGGGTGGAGGAGGATCCACTGGGCTCAACTTTGCCAATGAAGGAGGTAAAAATAACTCATTACACAGGACCAGGGAAGCTCAGAGAAATAGGATGAGTGTGGTTGGAGTCAAGGAAAGAGTCTGGGTATGTCCCTCCAAAGGGGATGTAGAAACTTCACTCTCAGAGGAGCCTGTGAGCATCCTGGTGTGTTTCCTGATGTCCTCTGAACATGAGAAGTGCAGTCATAATGACCGGAGTGTCAACGCTGCTGTGTAAACCAATACACAAAAGTTAAAAATCTCCTCGTTTTCTAAATGGTGGAACAAGGCATTGAGTCACTCAGGTTACTAGCAGTCATTGAGCAGAAGAGGCAGGTTGTCCTGCCGACATTTCTGACATGCATTGGGCCTGTGAAAACAATCCCTGGAAGAAATAGCTATTGTTTGATGTGACAAGAGCTGCTCCTTTGCTCCGTATTCTTACCATCCTCCTCTGAGGGGACCATGGTGAAACTCCAGTGGCCGGCTTCGTGTTTCTCCCCGGAGGGCAGCCTGGGTGATCAGCTGGGCACCTGTAGGTGTGAAGACTGTAGCAATGGCCAGTTCAGCCGGACCATTTTCTTTGAGAAGGATTGCTTGTGAACTTTGTCAGAAATGCCCTCTAGTGATCTTTCCCTTTGTAGCTGCTATGGACTGTGTTTGCAAAGAGGGTCTTTGGATGCCATCAGAGGGGGAGAGGTGGTCAGCATCTCTTTGTTCTAAAAGGGAAGCTTCCAGAGGGAGTGTCCAAGAACATGGCCTTAATATGAATTGAGTGCCCACCGTGGGGCTGGGCACTGTGACCGGGGGCTAGCACCTGCCTGCCCTCACTGATAGGTGAAAAGCCACGCTGTAGTGGTGAGGGAAGCCCTCTGCCAACGTACTCTTCCTGGGAACAATGTACAGTTCATGGATTATAGGAAATACTGATGATCAAAATACTTTGTAGGAATCAGTGCCATTCATATACTAGCGAAAACCATACCAAGAAACTGAAACAAGAATGAGAGAGGGATTCAGATAATCCTGACAAATAAAGGAAAAAGCAGCCACACAATAATAAACTTCTACTTTTTTTTCTTCCATTCTTTTTGTGGCTGTTTCTGGAAAAAGGTGTATTTCACCCTGAATGCTAAATTTAGTTCTCTCAAAGTTTTAGACCAGCCTCCCATCAACAAATTGTTGGGGACGATTTATATAACTTGTGATGTGAGGCTCCTATGAAATTCTTTCAAGTTTTGATGACTGAGCAGTCGTGTGTCACTAATTTCTCCATTGAAAATTAAGATGGCGCAGAAACAAAAAAGGGAAAGAGAGCCACGTCCATAAGAGAGTGTGGTAATAGAAACCCAGATGCCACGTTTCATTAGGAGCGAAGTGTGCTCTCATGACTTTAAGCCAAATTGTCGCTACTTTGAGAAGGTAGTCTTAAGCCCTGACCTGTGGGCTAATAATAATAAAAAGAAAAAGGCTCCCTATCTCTCGTCTAATCAGAAATCTCTTTTTGAACTTTCAGGAGGTATGACTCTAATGGTAATTTGTTGACAGATTAGCTGCAGTGACTGCAAAGAGTTTGTTTGCAAAAACTGGCAGGCTTCTATCTGTGCTCCTGAGGCAAGGAGCCTACTTTGCTGTTTGGGTCTGCTCGCATTTATTGACAGCTAGCGCTGAGCAGGCGGAATTGGTATGTTTGTGTAACGTAAACCTATAGCTCGCCTGATGGAGTCGAGTGTACTTTTAGGTGGTGCATAGATTACTTGATTAAAAAAGGTTAAAAGGTGGCGGCTTTTATGGTGAAGTAGAATGGCAATATAAATGCAAGCAGTAGACGGAACAACAAAAAGGAAGTTTATATAGGGAATCGAGCCCCATATTAGAAAGTGCCTTTTCGTCACTTG